GAGAAAACTTCAAAATTAACATTTTTTGTTAATACTATTTTTCTCTCTGATGTTTAGTTTAGTGGAAACATTTTCTTTTATTTGTGCCAAAACTCGCTCTTCAAATCGCGGAATTCTCACTGAACGTCGTCATCCTTGTCCATCCGATCTTCTAAATCTAAAAGAATCGTTCTCTCGCAAATGTCGATGAATGGACTCAAAAGTGAAATGATGTGAAATGTGGCGATCAGGATAATCATTGTTGATATAGTCTCTGTGCTGCTCATCCATTACAATTAGCAACTCCATAAGTAAAATGCATGTCAGTCAACTCTATCCATGTGTATCGCTCCATAATGATAAAATTGATAAACAAATCACATGCAATTTGTCAAGACACTAAAGACCTCTGCTCTATTGAAAGTTTGAATATGATATAAGACCAAAACGAAACGTCGCAGAGAGAAATATCATTAACAAAAAATGTTTATTTTCGAGTTCTCTATTTCCCTTCAAAGTTTGTCGGTCTAATTTTTTTACACCCTGCATGATAAACGATTATGCGTGTCGTCTTTTTTTTATGAAGTTTATGCGAGTCTGGATTTAATCGTCACGAAATGCTGTGTCGGGAAAATGACGTATCGACATTTTTCAGACTACTGCAATTCGGAAGCCGAGCGAGGATGAAAAATCAGTGAGACGAGAGTTACGACGTGGCCAAAAATAAGGGAGCCCGCACAGCAACGTAAAAAGTACATTCCCCGAGTAAGAAAGGAGGCAACAGGAGAGAGGTACAGAAATACATACCGTGAGTATTTTATAATAAAGAAACGTCACGATTTTATAAATAATTTCTTGCACAATCGACAATGTGCATAAACTGCATAGACAACAATAAAAGTAATAAAAAATAATAGTAAAGACCATTAACTTTATCATATATTATAAATATTATATCAATCGAAAACATGGCAAAAAAGAAAAGCAAAAACTAGAACCAAATATTATATTTTCTTTCTCGCGATTCTACGATTTAATAATTATATATCGATTGTGTCCGCAACACAATTATAAATGAATGTATTACTCGGAAGCTGACATTCTCGCATGCTAATTAAATTAATATCGCCGAGGATTATGCGATATAAATTAATACGGCAGCGCGCGATCGTTTGCGGAGACGTGCCTGATGGATGGCCGTGTTGGATACACCGCAACGTGTTTGTTGTGACGGACGAAAGCTCTTTTGAGAATGTCTATAAATTCCGCGTTTCCAACTTTCTCGCGAGCGCGCTTCCCTTACTTCCCTCTCGTCTCGCCCGTGATTTACAATTTCGTTCGACGCCACGCCACGCCTATTTGGTCACGAGGGTGGCTTAGAGGAAATGAGGCCGTCTTTGTTCGTCATTTTGATCTCGATCAAGAGAATCGATCGATTAAAGATTATTTCGGACGATCGAGACAGAGTGACAACAAAAAAGAATATCACATTTATTATCAATGCACTATATATAACTGTAGCTCGAATTTATAAAATTTATTATAACATAAGACATTTGGTCTTATCTTAGTGGCTTTGTCTAAAGTCTAAACAACTCAATCGTCATACCGCAACGGTATTAGCAGATGAATATTCACCGCTCATCCGCGTTCCGGGTTCCGGGAATCAAGACGACCGTAAGTTGCGTCCTGGCGACGGTCCAATCGAAAATCAGATCGCCAATAGGCAGGCCGATAAATAACGCGGTCAAATACTAAAATAATACCCAATGCTGATCAAAGAGGTAAACTCGCGCTAGCTTTCTGGCTTTCGAGAGAAACACATCTTATATAATTTTCCAAATTTCTTTTCAGATCAAATTTTTCAATCTCTCTCTCTTTAATTATAATAAATTAGTTTTTGACTTAATTTTGCAGCGTGATCGTTCTGTTTCTTCAGGATAGGGCTTTAAGCAAGGATTTTATTATCATTCAAAAGCATGTTTTGAGAAATCTGAAAGCTTGCGAGATTAGCATCGCGCATTAAAGTACAAGAGTGTCGAAAAATTGTGTCCCTCGACACACTTGGTCACTGATCAAAACTTTACTCGAGCTTTACAAGTAGGACACTGACCTTCGTCGATCCTCTTGCCTCTTGGCGGCCACGTTTACGCGCGGTACCCGTCCCGGGTACGCGCCGTTTAACGATATTAACGTGGCTTTAATTGCGCGTGCCGGCGTGCAAGTTTAATCGCCAAGAGTACGCTTGTATCTTGGCGTCGTGGACTGTTGCAGGTTAAAGCGTCCCTGTCGGTGCTCTTTCACGTCGGAAATGTGACGTAAAAAAGACAAGGTGTTTTATCCCCGCGGATGCGACAAACTTAATGGGCGTCCCGAAGGTAATCTGGAATAATTCAGAAAAACTCGCAATCGAAATGTGCTTCTTTTCTCTACAATATGTCAGCAAACACTTCGTTAATGGGGAATTTGCTAATGACCAGGATTAACCTGGCAGTAAAACAATTAAGACATGTCTATGTTCTTACATCTGTTATTATCAAAGACGGTTCACACATAGTGGACAATTAATTTTTTTTTATTTACATTAAACTTATCCAAGTTTGTCAACAAAGAGCAAAGAGAATTTTTATTCTCATCCATACTCGATTTCGCCGCCGATTGATTTTAATTAATTAGATCGATTGATCGGTCTAATTAATAAAATATTAGGAAGATTTTACATGTTATTAAGTTTCATGATTAGTCTTAAGAAAGTATATCTAGGAATATATACATATAGGTATACGTACAATAGGTAAGAATTGCATTTGCAACTCAATTTTCCATGCAAGTATACAAGTAAATTTTTGCATTCTTGATATTTATCATAATTTGTTGTAAAGCATTACTTTTACTAAAGCATTACTCTTACTAAAAAAATGTTTCTTTTCCATACATATCTGTGACTTTCTTTTACTTTTTTATATTGTCTTACGTAGGTACATCTGGCATTTCCCTATATAAGGTACACCCATAGATTTATCTCTTTATGGTTGTTTTAGCGTTATACGTACATACCATATGGTTACACTATTGGCATAAGTATTGTATTTGTCAGCGCATACCCCCGTAAAAAGACGCAGGACCAATTCTGACGAGCGTGACTCACGATGCGTGTCCACGCACAAGCATAAAATTTTAACCGTAAAAATACATACATACATACATACATAGTACAAAATGCATACAAATGCATAGCACAAAAATAAAAATTTTTGGTATATACATTATGTTGTCTCGAAATCGACAATTTTTTTGTCGTCTTGTTTTTCTACACACCCACATGGGGGCGTAAAAATTGTTCTTACATACAGACTAGTAAGGAGTCAGAACCAGCTATAAAAAGACGTTTATGATGTATATCTCCGTTGCATAACAGTTTGGCACGTAGGCGATAGACGTTTTATGTTTATGAAGAGAAAAATGTATCGACGTTGAAATTGCGTCCGCTGAACAAACATTTTCGCAGAAGGGCGCAACAAATGAGTCGTACATTAACAGAGCATGATAATAATTATAATAGAAATTATTTCGAAAGAATCTAAGAAGAAAGAAATTAAAATAATAATAATGAGATGATCTATATGATATTCGTTCTCCAGATACTCGGTGGTAACCTCTCCCGTTTTAAGATCGTTGTGGAAAATGGCGTCTCGGCCATTGGTAGGTAGGAGCAAGAGATGGAATTCTCGAATAGCAGCAAGTGCAACACCTCTAACAAGTGTTTGATTA